TAACCAAGGAAACGCTGTATCATTGCTGTTCATAAAGCAGCTCTGCTTTGTTTACAGCGGTAACCAAGGAAACACTGTATCATTGCTGTTCGTAAGCGCCACCTGCTGGCAGAGAGTGAGTCTGCGTCTCATTAAGCTCGTCTGCTGTTTCCTTCAGATATGTTTTATGTAGCATCGTTTCACAAAACTAAAGTCAGACCATTCTGTTTTTGCTTCAAATTTCGAAATTATAAAGTCCAATTTAGATTAAAAACTGCTCATGCTGCATGTATGCTGCATCTTTGCTTGGATCATGATTACAATGCATTGGTTGCGTCTCATTTTAAATGGAAAGAGCACAGACAAAGCCGTAGTTTGTACATAATAAGAGATTTCTTTTGTGTAACTTGTTTGATTTGGGGTTTGTTTTAAAATTTCAATTTAGTTTAGTTATATTTCAGTTTCGCAAAGAAACGTGCAGCAATAGCCTAAGAAAACCACACCTTTTCATTTACTGTATAATGTCTTCAATCTCATTTTGTTAACAAAATCGTGAGTTGTGCATCGTTACAAGTCTATTAGTGACCGCTCTACTCGTGACGTGAGCATCTCTCTGTGCTCAGGCTCTCAGGAAGGAGCTGCAGACGTGGAAGGTGGATGTTGTGCTGAACGACGGCGCGCCGAATGTTGGAGCGAACTGGTCGCACGACGCCTTCTCGCAGGCCAACCTCACGCTGATGGCGCTCAAGCTGGCCTGCGAGTTCCTGACCAAAGGCGGCACCTTCATCACCAAAGTCTTCCGCTCCAAAGACTACCAGCCGCTCATGTGGATCTTCCAGCAGTTCTTCAAGAAGGTGCAGGCCACCAAACCACAGGCCTCCCGAAACGAGTCCGCCGAGATCTTTGTCGTCTGCCAGAGTAAATCTATGCATTTCGTACTAATCTTGTTCTTGTTTATTTGTCTGTTAATTCAACCTGTTGTTTGTTGTTCTGCTCATTCATTCTCTCAAACTATCATTCATTCATTCTATCAATTGTTTGTTTTATCTATCAGTTGTTCTTTCTGTCTGTCTGTCTGTAGTTATAAAAGTCTTGTCTATCTTTCATTCTGTAGTCCTGTCTATATAGTTTGATTTTTATCATTTGTTCTATCATCTGTTCTATAATTTTATCTCTCTCTCGTTCGTTTGTTAAAAGTATTTTGTTCTATCTATTGTTTTTTTTTTTCTATCATTCGTTTTTGTTCTAATGTTTGTTTGTTTTTTCTATCTATCGTTTTTCCATTCTGTCTCTTTTGTTCTATCGTTCGTTTGTTTGTTTTGATTTTGTTCTAACGTTTGTTTTTTCTATCTATTGGTTTTCCATTCTATCTCTTTTGTTCTATCGTTCGTTTGTTTGTTTTGATTTTGTTCTAACGTTTGTTTTTTCTATCTATTGGTTTTCCATTCTATCTCTTTTGTTCTATCGTTCGTTTGTTTGTTTTGATTTTGTTCTAACGTTTGTTTTTTCTATCTATTGGTTTTCCATTCTATCTCTTTTGTTCTATCGTTCGTTTGTTTGTTTTGATTTTGTTCTAACGTTTGTTTTTTCTGTCTATCGTTTTTTCATTCTGTCTCTTTCATTTTATCTGTTGTTTTTGTTCTATCGTTTGTTTGCTGTAACTGTTCTTCGCTTGTTCTAGCTATCGTTTGCTTGTTCTAGCTATCATTCACTTGTTCTATTGTTTGTTTGTTTGTTCTAGCTATCATTAGCTTGTTCTATCATTTGTTCTGTCTCTCGTTTTTACATTCTAATGTTTTTTTCCACTATTATTCTATATATTGTTCTTTTTTTCTAGCTGTCGTTCACTTGTTCTATCATTCGTTTGTTTGTTCTAGCTATCATTCGTTTGTTGTAGCTATCATCCGCTTGTTCTATTGTTTGTTCGTTCTAGCTGTCGTTCATGTTCTATCGCTTGTTCTATCGTTTGTTTGTTGTAGCTGTTTTTCGCTTGTTCTATCGTTTTTGTTCTAGCTATCGTTTGCTTGTTCTAGCTATCATTCCCTTGTTCTATCGTTTGTTCTTGCTGTCGTTCACATGTTCTATCGTTTGTTTGTTCTAGCTATCATTCACTTGTTCTATTGCTTGTTTTTGTTCTAGCTATCATTTGCATGTTCTATAGTTTGTTTGTTCTAGATATCATTCTGTCATTCGCTTGTTCTATCGTTCACTTCATCTTTTGGTTGTTCTATTATTTGTCTGTCTATCGTTCTCTTGTTCGTTATAAAATTCTGTCTATCATTCGTTCTATAATTCTATCTATATAGTTTGTTTTATCCTTTGTTCTATTGTTTGTTCTAATTGCATCTATTTTTCATTTGTTTGTTCTATCGATTAGTTTTTTTTGTTCTATTTATCATTATATCTATCTATCATTTTTCTGTCATTCTGTCTATTGTTCGCTTGTTTTATCACCCTGTTGTTTGTTCTATCTATCGTTCATTCTACATCTGTTTGTTTGTTTGTTTCATTCATTGTTTCACTCATTATTTCTATCACCTGTTCTATAATTCTATTGTTCTTTTTATCTGTCTGCTTGTCTATATGAATATATTTCTCTTTTCTTCAGGTTTTTTGGCTCCGGATAAAATTGACAGCAAGTTCTTCGACCCCAAACATGCTTTCAAAGAGGTTGACATACAAGTGAAATCTGTCAACGAGCTGGTTAGCAAAAAAAAGCCAAAGGTATGTCTTATTTACATATGTTTACATTAATATATTGTCATGAAATGTATTTATTGTATTATATATTTAATATTTGATAACATTTAGGCCTATTGTATATTATTTTATAAAAACTATTATCCATGTAATTTTAACTTTTAACTAATTTAAATGAATTTGTTTCATTTACTTATTTTTCTGTGTTGTTTCAGGCTGAAGGCTACAGCGACGGCGATCTCACTCTGTATCACACCTTCTCGGTGACCGAATTCTTAAAAGCCGAAAACCCTGTCGATTTCTTGAGCAAAGCCAATGAAGTACAGTTTCAGACCACTGCACTTACATTCCAGACATCAGCGCATATGTTTGTCATGTGTTTCTACGTCTAATTTCCATCTGTTTCTGCTCCAGATAACCTTCAATAACCCCGAGCTGGAATCGCACCCCATCACTTCACCAGAAATCAGAGAGTGCTGCTGCGATATTAAAGTCCTGGGCCGAAAGGAACTGCGGTGAGTCACTACGCTTGTTGACCATATATGGAGAGTCAGTGTTTGTAGCCGAAATCTGAATGGCTGTTGTGTTGTTAGTCTGCTATTGTCATGGAGATCCAAGCTGAGGAGGTTCCTGGCTAAAAAGCTGAAACAGGATGCCAAGCAGCTGGACCAGGAAATGAGGTGCGTCGTCATCACGTCATAGAATTCACATATCGTAGATTCAAATTCTGTTAATAATTATGTGTTCTGTTGCGGTGTGCTATAGCTCAAATGATGATGATAGCGATATTGACGAGAAGGAAAGCAAGAGAAAGGGAGGTGAACAGAAGGATGAGGAGAACGCAGCGGACGGGGAGGAAGAGGAGATGGAGAAGAAGCTGGCAGAGATGAAAGCCGAAGAGTTCGCCGAACTCAAACGGTAGATTTATATCACAGTACAACTGTGTGATTTTTTTACTATCATTTATATAATCTAATCCAAACTATCAATACAGTTTGAACAGTGTTATATTATTATTGATATGCTGACTTAATGTAAATAGTATTACTCTATTTTAATTGTTTTTAAGTGATTTAATAGTAGTCTTAATGGTTACGGAATTACATACAATCTAAATAATATTAATATAATTAAATTAAATCACTAAATGATAAATACATTTGATCTAATCTAAACTATTAATAAAATATGTACGAGTAAATACGATTAATCGCAGAGAAATCATGCGATTAATCGCGTGTGTGTGTATATGTATATATATATCTCATGCCAATACCGATATTAGGGAGTAAAAAAGGCCGATATCGATATATCGGCTGATATTCTTTGTGTATATTATAGTACAATACCAGTCAAAAGTTTGGACTCTTTCCCATTCGTGTGTCCAAACATTTGACTGGTACTATGTATAGAATACAGTATATACATAAACAGAATATATATACATAAACACATTTTTTGCAATGATCACTCAAATGTGGTGATCAAACACTTATAGAGATACGTTATGGAGGCAGGGCATTTAACAATTTAACAATAAACTTTGTTATCCAAAATGAGTCTGACATCAGTGCACTGAACACTGAACACGGATTTGCGCTTGAAAATTAGAAAAGTGTGAAGTGTGACATAATATACCTCTGTAAATAAATATAAATTCACCTCTCGCGCACTTTAATGCCCTTTGAATGTAACGTGTACGTAACAGACCCCAGGGGCTATCGACGCGGGGGTGGTCTCATTCGAAAGTGGGCCTCGAGACGTACACTCGATTCGCGTTCGAGAGGGTTCCTCGAGCTGAAGGGATCCCCCGAATTTGGTGCGCCTTTATGGAGATATGGCCGTTCAAAGTTTCAATGGTTTTCCATAGACTTAAGCTTTAAAGCGTTTCATCCAGGTCGGCAGTAGCAAACAATGGAGTGCGCTCTGCTGGACAAAATAAGTAATTACATCATTTCAAGCATTTTATCTGCATTATATGTTCTGTAAAACAAATGTTCATATCGGCGGCATATTTGCCGATACCGATATATTGGTGACCGGCTCATATCGGCCGATAATATCGGCTAAACGATATATCGGTCTGGCTCTAATATATATACGTTTTATGACAGGTATTTTCTGTTTTCTTTCATTTAAACATTCATGAAATATAAATGGTCTAAATATTAATATAATTAATGAAATATCAACATAATTTAAATATTAAAAATCTAAATATTACCAATATATTTAAATTTATTTAATGATTTAATGGTAAGTAATTTTATTATCATTTAATATCTTGAAGTAGATTTCAGCTAATATTTTAGTTAAAGTTTTAGTAATTTTGTGTAATTTAAAAAAAATAATTTTCATTAATATTTAAATGTAGTTATTTTAGACATTTGGAAACTAGCTGAAATAAAATGATATATATATATATAAATATATATATAAGAAATCGAGGAAAAGATGCCTAAGAAGAAAAAGTGCGGTTCTTTTTCCTTTTTGAAGAACACGTTTAGTTTGGTTTGTCTGTTACATTAACATATATATGAAATATAAAATGATATTAGAATTTTATATGAAATAAAAAATAATTTAAAAACTAATGTTATATATATTTCATAAAATAAATATAATAAATGTATAATTCAAATTAAGGTATATAAAAATATACATTAAAATGTTATATATATATTAGTGGCATCAGTCGATTTAAAAAAATTTTACTAAATAATCACTCATTTTTTCTGAAATTTATCACGATTAATCCCACTTAACATTAAAGTTTTTAAAATGATGTCTCTAGGAAATAGTTTTTCCTCTAATATTTAACCATTGATTAGCCATTCAACATTACAAAGCCTCGGCAGCTGTCGGCGCGAGTGGAGCAACGGATGACGACAACTTTCAAGTTGTTGCTGTTGAAAAAATAAGTCAGTTGAGAATCGTATTTAACATTCGAAGCCATTTGAAAATAGTTTGATTGTTAATAGATTTAATTTTGAACTTATTTTTTTCGCAGACAAACGTGTGCGAATTCTCAACGCAGAGGGTTTGGCGCTCGGCGCTCAGATCGCTACGTCCAAAAAGCGAGCGCGAGACCTGGTCGACGGCTCCTTCCACAGGTCAGACTCCGCTAATCACTTAGCGATTACGTTATTTGTGCGTTTCTGAGGTAATAACATCGTCTTCGTGCTTCTTTCGTAGGTTTGCGAATTCTGAGGATATGACCGAAGTTCCCGCCTGGCTTTTTGACGATGAAAAGAAGCACCGGAAGAGGCCTGTTCCCATCACCAAGGAAATGGTGGAGGAATACAAGCAGAAATGGCGGGAAATCAACGCCCGGCCAGTCAGACGCGTCGCAGAGGCCAAAGCGCGCAAGAAGAGACGGGTGAGACAACCCTGACATCTTAAACACTAATAGAAATTCACAATTTAAGAGCAAATGTATGAAAAGCTGAGTGATTGAGAAAAGAGAGAATGCTGTATAGTTTTTATTATTATTATTATTATTATTATAATGCATATTATTAATAGTAACAATGTAATATATGATTGCATTTAAAAAATTCATGTTATTGTTGATATTATATAGTTTTTATATTTAAAAGAGGTTTACTTTTTACATCAACATTAAATTGAGTCATAATGTATTGTTATTATTTTTATTATTATAAAATTAACATATTATTGTCTATATATATATATATATACACACATGCATGTATATATTTAAGAAAAATATGTAACGTTTATATATTAAATATATACATGTAAATATTTTCAAAATATATGCGGTATGTGTGTTTATTTATATGTGAGCAATAAGGTACAAGAGGCTGTGCTGTATTGTGAATAAATCACGGCTGAAGGGCATTGTTAGGCACGACGTGAAGCAGAGCATGTATATATTTCAGAAAAATGTTATGTTTAAAAATTAAATATATTTATATATAATATAAATTATATTAATATAAATATATACATGTAAATATTTTTAATATATACACTGTATGTGTGTGTCTTTTTATATATACATAATAAATATACACAGTACACACATATATATTATGTAAACTAAAACAAAACTATATATATATACACATATATATATATACACACACACACACATATATATATACACACACACACACACACACATATATATATATATATATATACAGTGGGGCAAAAAAGTATTTAGTCAGCCACCAATTGTGCAAGTTCTCCCACTTAAAAAGATGAGAGAGGCCTGTAATTTTCATCATAGGTATACCTCAACTATGAGAGACAAAATGAGAAAAGTATGTATGTATGTATGTGTATATATATAGTTTTTAAATTGTTGTTGTTAAAATATATAATTAAACAATATGGCAATATGATTTTATTTATTATGTAGTTAATATGGAATTTTGTATTTAAATCTGGTTTGTTTTCGTTATATTGGATAAGTTTTACTTTACAATTTGATGTTCTGTTTATTATTACTATTATTATTATATTATATTACTATAACATTTTTATAATTATTTACATTACAGAAAGGTACATTGTTTTTCTCTAGTTATATCAAAATGTTTTTAAAAATCCTTATCCAGGGGGAAATGGTCAAACAGTTCTGGCTGGTTCTGGTGCTACAAACATACTTTGATTTCAGAAAACTCAAAGTGAATCTGGCCGTTAAATGCATGTTTTCTGTTGTAGATGTTGAAGAAGATGGAGCAGGCCAAGAAGAAGGCCGAAGCTGTGGTGGACACGGTGGATATTTCAGAGCGAGAGAAGATGGCTCAGCTCAAGAGGTCGGCCTCGACATCCACACGTCTGCTTCGTTTCATTACCAACGCACTGAAGCCTAATCCTTTTCTCTTTCCTTCGCTCACAGCATCTACAAGAAGGCCGGCGTGGGGAAGGAGAAGCGAGACATCACGTACATCGTGGCTAAGAAGGGCGTGGGACGCAGGGTGCACCGACCCGCTGGACTCAAGGGCAATTTCCGCGTGGTGGACGGGCGGTTGAAGAAAGACACGAGAGCTGCGCAGAGGAAGGAGCAGAGGGGGCGGGGCAAAGGAGGGCGTGGCCATAAAGGAGGGCGTGACCATAAAGGTGGGCGGGGCATGAAGACCGGAAAAGGCCATGCGAATAAGAAGTGATGGACGCCCGTCTCGTCCTCATTCAGACCGATTGATTGAGCTGCTCGTGTCATTTACGAGTCTAAAGCGCTATACGCTAATCTCCTCGCCCAGCCCTTTCGTTACCGACGACATGCTGTTTAACTTGGACTTTGACTCGTGATTATAAATAAGGGTTTAAACCCCTCCAGCAGTCAGACGCAGTTCAGACTGATGATGTTTTTCAGCATTGTTATAATGCTGCGTGTTTTCATGTCTAGCGTATACTTTGTAGTATATGAACGTCAGGTGTATACGTGAACTTCCTGATGTTTCTGAATTAATTATGCCAATTTATATGTGAAAAATCTGCTTGGATTGTTGGTTACATTTTAAATAAATGAAAACTGAATGACAAATTGATATTTTGTTAAATAATACTGACTTTTTTCATTACTGTGATTTGGTATAGTTTTCATATAGAATTTCAATATTAAAAAAAGTGAACCATATAAACCGTACCGCCGCTCCCGATACGCAGAGTACGCAGTTTGCGTAGGGCACCAACTCCCCGGGGGGCACCATCCCAGTTGCTCAAAAAAAAAACTTTCGTTCTATTTTAATATTATCAAATACATATACGTATACGTAAGACATCAGTAGTCCGGCACCAAGATAAGAAAAAGAAAAAAGCCCAAGATGAAGCCCGTGCATCACTTTCATGTACGTTTATAATCCTGTGAAACTTTTTTGTATGTTTAAGTTAATAATGTGTTTTAATGTCGATAATATCACCGCCGCATCTGCCTTAATATTCTCTTGAGTTTCCATGTTCCCTTACGAAAATGAACGATAATTTTACTACGAAAAAAAATAAATAAACATTGTTATTGTAGCAATGGTAACCACAAATGAACCATGGTTTTGATACTTTTGATTTACGAAGTATTCAGATATTTTTGTGGTATTAAAAACAGACTTAAGCGAACAACAACAACCTTAAAAATACCATAAAATGCATTCTATAAAAACAATGAGGCAATAATGATTGGTTAATCGTATGGTTTCATTGAATAACACCGTTAAAATACATAATGTAATGCAAAATAAACAATTTATGTACGTTACATATTACAACAAATGCCTGCAAGAGCGCCAAAGGCCTGGTAATTGCTGTTGTAACACTTACAGGATGATCAAATCCTTGTTTAATATTGACCAAACATTTAATTCAAATATCCACTTAATCTTTCATTTTTGGCCACCTTTTTGCGATGGAAATGCTAGCCTCTATAATTTCTTCAACAAAAACATGTGGACATCACAACCCTTACAAAAACTAATCCTTGCTTTTATCAAAGTAAAACTGCTCAATTTTCTTTTGTGTCATTTCTGAATGCTTGAGACCATAAAATCAATCATAGTAGCTGTTTTTTTTTTTTTTTACTTCCATAATATTTTGGGGAGGGGGCACAACAATACAATTCTGCTTTTTACATAATGTATAAATAAAAATATTTATATTGTTTACATTTTCATGTTTTAAATAAATGCAAAATATAAAATAAAGAGGA